TGACGATGATGATGAGTGTGTGAGATGAACGGGTGATGATGCTGCTGATGATGACCATGATGGCCACTGCGTGGGTGTTCGAGACACTATGATGGAGATGGTGACGATGATGTTGAGAGTGGCGGTGGTCCTACCGTCGGAGGACCACTGCCTCCGAAGCCTACTGAGGGTGAGTGAGTAATTGAGTGAGTGAGTGGGTGATCGAGTGGTGATGATGGTGACGATGATGATGATGATGACGATTATGATGAAGAGTAGTGATGAAGGATCATGATGATGAGTAGTGATGACGGTGATGGCGGTTGATGGTGATGATGATGGTAATGATGATGAGTGTTTGCGTGCGATGACGATGATGGTGGTTGATGGTGATGATGATGGTGATGATGGTGTGTGAGAGAGAGAGAGAGGAAAGGGGGGGTGAGATCCTGCGCGGCGTGTGCAGAGGAAACAAGAACCCCACTTTGGATGTGGGGAAAAAAGCTCCCAAATGGAAAAAACCTATCAACAAATAGTCCCCAGACTATTTTTGGAATATGTGTTGATGTATTTTTTAGGTATTTTTAATTGTTCGTCGAAAGTCTCTCTGTAGGGGGACACGCCCGACTTAAGCCTGGCACTCCCGCGGCCCGAGGGCGAACCTAGGCCCACTAGATGGGATCCCTGGCAGATGGGGCCGGAGGATCGCGCCGCATCGTCGCCGATGCATCGACGCTGCGGCTCGATGTGGAGGCCGTGCTTCCCCACGCCGACGTCGCCGATACATCGCCGACGTCGCCGATGCATCGCCGATGCGTCGCCGATGCATCGCCGATGCATTGGCGATGCGGCGCGATCCATGGGGGAACCAAAAAGTGCCAATAGCTACAGTCGGACCGAGGTCTGAGATCGAGGTCGGTTCGGGCAGGGTGCCCGAAGGTTCTTCGTGTTTGTTGGATGTTCTTGTGCATCCTGGGGAGGGTACCCTTGAAAATTCTATGTGTTTTGGCTGGCAGAGGGTCTCATGTTTTTGAAGGAGGTTGTTATGTCTTAGGTCTGGCTTGAATGAACGCTTTTCCCCGGGACCTCTTCCCGAGGTGCGCTCTGACGAGAAAATCTCGAGGCGAGTCCAGCCGTGGCGGCGAAGGCCTCTCAGGAGGCCCAAGAGAGGGGAAAGAGGCAAGGGTAGCGTTAAGTCGGGCGTGTCCCTCTACAGGAGGAATACATCAAAAATAATTAGAGAATCGTAAGAAAATAGTTTGGGGACGGTTTCTGAGTATTTTTGATAATGCTTGAATACTTGTTGGCTCTTTTCTAGTTTTCGTCCAAAATCCTCCTGTTGGGGGCCATACCCAACCTGAGGGTAGCGGCATGGGCACCCTGCCTCTCGGAGGAGGCTCGGAAGGGGTGAAGGGAGAAGAGGCGGGCCTTCTCGACAGGCTCGGAAGGCGGCCTGCTGAGAAGTTTTCGATGCCTGCCCCGAGGACACATCGCACATCGCAAACTGGAACATGTACATTGCCACTGGCGGGTGGTGTGGTGTATACTTGTTTCTCCGCTTTCGCGGGGCAACAACGAAAAATGTATACACCAGGATCCCGTATACACCAGGATCCGCGTTCTTGTGCGAATTTCGGCGCAGGGTCGGAAAAAGCCTCGGTGTACAGAGTTCGTTTCCCCAGCACCGGGAACCGCTCCGAAGGCCGGAGGCCTCCTGAGAAGCCCCGCCGCCCGAGGACCGCTTCCCCCCCTCTCGGGCCGGACGAATGGGGGGGGATTGGGGAAGGGGGGGTTACGAAATTTGCGGCATGCAGCTGGTTTCGGCCTCACCGAGGGGCCCATTCCTCGATACTTAGTCGCCTCCGTCGCCGGGAGGCGCCGGGAAAATCAGCTACGTGAGCTGATCCTCAACCCTCCCTTGCTATCCCCCCCTTTCGCCCGACCCGACCCTCGCTTGCCGCCGAGAGGCCATCATCACCACCCGGGCGACGCAGAAGCGAGCGGGGCCGTCTTCACCGGCCCCCCGGCGCGCGAGTTGCCCCCGCAGCAGGGTCGCACGTGCGCGCGCCGCTCTTTTTGCCAGCCTGGCGTGCCGCGCGGGCGGCCCGCGGAAGCCACCGCAGAAGGTCGCCATGCCATCTCGCGCAGGACCCGCCTCCTCGCCCTCCTCGTCCTCCTCGTCGTCCTCCTCCTCCTCCTCGTCCTCCTCCTACTCCGCCTCCTACTCCTCCTCCTCCTCCACATCGCGACCTGGACCCCGTTCGAACACGGTGCCTAGACCCCCAACCAGGGTCTCGAAAGCGACACTCCGGCGAAGGGGAGGACAACGGCACGGCGGCCTGCCAGGGGCTCGGGCCGAGGGGGCCCCAGGGCGTGCCCGCCGCCCCGCCCGCGGGCGGCCCCGGGAGCCCCCGCGCCTCCCGCGCGCGGCGTGGGGCCCCCCTGCCGCGAGCGGGCGCAGGTCGTGGGCGACATCCTCGCGGCCGGCAGGCCCAGCGCCGTGGCCGCCGCGCCCGCGCAGGAGCGCGCCAGGGGGCAGAGTACAGTGCCGGTTTTAATACATGCTCCGCGTGCGGATCGTGTATTAGAAATGAAGTATAGGGGGCGGAAAAGAGAGGGGTGATGACTAGGGGGGGTGGATATCGTGGCGGGGGCCATGATAGTTTCCCAGATTTCATGGCGCCTCTTCGTATTTCATTACGTCCCTGGCCCCCCCGCTACGCCGTGCACATGCCGCCGGTCATGATTTGCACCCCCCCCTCTCTTGGACGCCCCCCTCTTGGCCGCTCCCGATAAAGGGATTTAGTACCAAAAGCAATGATGAATTTATGCATTGATTTATTTGTAAATGAATCATGTATTGAACATCCAGTGCATTAAACATCCTATGTATTCAACCTGCCCTGTATCCGCGAGCGCGATCCACGGCCTGCAACGCAAAGTGCCTACTCGCAAACGACGTCCGAAGATCGCGGGCCTCCCTCTAATTATGCAATGCATCGTGCATCCCCCGCGTCGGATCCTGGCCACTGGCGAGTCGTTCTCTTACAGGTCGTGGAGTCCGCTTGTCTAGTCGTGGTGCTGCGCTTCAAGTGCTCCCGGGGTTCCAGGGCTGTGCCCCAACCGCGCGCGAAACAAGGCCGTGGTCGACACCAAGATCAAGCAGTGGCGAAGCGTCCCGGCTCGCCTGTAGCCCCACCACACAATGTTCTAAGAACCTTGTGTGGTTTCCACGAAATGTTCTCAGAACATCTCTGGGGGAGACTCTCTTGTTTCATCACATCGGGTTCATGCTCTAAGAACATCGTTTTTGTGATTGGAACGTCTTTGGGCTCTAAAATCACTTCGTGGTAGGACTATAGGAATGCCGGGACGGTCGGCCGCTGCTCAACAAGAGGCAACACCTCTGGCCACGGGGGAGAAGCCGCGGCATCCGCGCGCGAGCCGCCCGCGGAGGGCCTCGCGTGAAGCGCCCTCGCCTCGAGAGTGCGGCGTGCCGCGCCGGCGGCCTGCGTGAGTCGTCTGCCTCGTGAGGTCGGTCAGTGCGTCTTCTTGCGCAAGACTTATGTCAGGAGGGAAAACAAAAACACACAGACACAATTCATCTTCGATTCCCCCGAAAATATCGGAAAGTATGGGAAGGGGGGGGGGAAGACAGAGACCCAGAACATATGGGAGCACATGGGGAACATGTTTATTTGTGTGTATTTATTTAATCGCTTCGCTCATGCCGCCGGCCCTGGAGCCCTCTTTAGGGCCTCTTGGGGGCCTCTTGGGGACCTCTTGGGAGTCTCTTGGGGCTCCTTGGCGGCGTTTTGGAGGCCCCCAGGGCCTCTTGGGGGGCTCTTGGGGGTAGTCGATTGCGGCTCCCCCCTCGGAGGCCACGATCCTCGTGAGGGGTGTCGAAAAATACCCTCCCCTGGAGTGGTCTGGTGGCTTCTCCCGGGCTTCTCTCGGGACCTTGCCGGGGTACTTTTCGTCCGGGGGCCCCCAGGGGCCGCTCCGCGCGCGCGAACTAGAAATATTGTTAACAAGTTACCGGAGATCTTAGCACGCCTCTGGCCCGTTGGGCCGGCGAATTTGTGTGTCCTGGGCCCCCTTCATTATGAAGTTCCAACCTACTTTAGCCGTGATCGTCAGAAATAGTTTCGAGCACCAGAAAAGCACCGCACCTCGAGGGTTTTCACGTGCCGGCCCCTGGGAGACACCCGCCCGATACTCTTTCGACACTCTCTCGACACTCTCTCGACACTTTTCCGGGGGCTCGAACTTGTGTTTGGGATGTGGTCCTTAAGTTCGGGGGCGGAAAAGAGGGGGGTGATGACTAGGGGGGGGTGGATATCATGGCGGGGGCCATGATATTTCCCCAGATTTCATGGCGCCTCTTCTTATTTCATTACGTCCCTGGCCCCCCCGCTGGGCCGCGCACATGCCGCCGGTCATGATTTGCACCCCCCCCTCTTTGACGCCCCCCTCTTTGCCGCTCCCGATAAGTACGATGGGAATAACATAACGTAAGACCCGTTTCTTCTTCGTCGCCCACCCAGTACCGCCATCCGCCCGACGGACTTTTCCGACATTGTCGCCGCGCTCGGTTGGCGCAGCCCCCCCCCCCCATCCCGACGTTGTCTCCATCGCTTCACGCTCCAGGCCGGCCCACCGTGCATACGTGTTGAGATGGGTTCGCATGCCCGCGAAGATCGGGGAGGTTTTTGTGCGGTGGTCGTGGCCCCAAATTGTCATGCGAAGCTCGCGCGTTGGAAAAAAAGTCGCTGGACAGATCGAAGGCCACGTTTAACGGAACACCCCTCCTTTCAATTTTCGCCTCCCATGTCGAACGCGAGGGACATTGCTTCAGGCGTGCTCGTGTGCATTACTTTTGGGTTTGGGGCAGTTTTCTGAGAGTGCCGTTGGCGCCTTTTGGGGGGGAACGGAGGGCACCAGCTGCTGGTTTCCTTAGGAGCCCCCTCAGTTGTCTCGCGACCTCTTAGGGGTTGTTTTGGGCTGCCTCCCGATCCCTGTGTTTGGCATCACCTCACCTCGATGCTGATCTCACGGATCCTTCTGAGGGCACATCCCAAAACTTGTCCTCGCTTTTTGCTCGACCCTCTTAGGGATAGGGATACGTTCGAGGCTGGTTTCTGTCTTGGGCCATCTTCAGGTTCTTGGGGATGCCGTGGGTTATGCTGGGCAAGATTCACGTCTCGTGGGCCCAGCGATTAATCGATCCCCGCTCTTGGGCTTTCTTTAGGTTCTCCACGGGTGCTCTTTGGAAGCCGTGGGAACCCTCAAGGTGCTTCTGGCCACCTGGGGGCCTGAACATGCCCACTGGAGCCCGCTACGGCGAGAACGCCCAAAGCACGCACAGCACCAGAAAGCATGTTTCAATGACCTGTGACCCTCCTGGTGGGGGGCCTCCGCGGGACGCTTCTCCAGAGATCTGGGGCCGTCGTTGCAGCCCATGGCCTTTCCAACTCCGAGGCCACCAGGGCGGCCGGCCCCTGGCCCCAGAGACGTACAAGACCATGGCCGCCCCGATGTTCGCCCCTCCGCCCTCCCCGGGCACGGGCGGCGCCTCCCTGGACCTGCCCCTCGGGCGCCGCCCGTCCCAGCGCAGCAGCGGCGAGGCCGGCGGCGCATCCGGAGCCATGCCCCCCCGAGGCCTGCAGAGCCGGTCCGCCCGGAGGCCCCCGGAGGCCGAAGCGGGGCCACGGCCCTCGAGCCTGGACGGATGGATGGAGCCAGGAGCCCCCACGTCGGGCGGCGCCAGGAGCCCCGCGAGAGGCCTCGAGTGTCGATCGGTCCTCGGCCCTCGCCGGGCGATGCAGGGGGCCCTCGTCCTTCGGAGCTTCGGCTGGCCCGGCGGCGCCAGGAGCTCTGGGGCCTCCGAACACTTCGAGGACGGGGCCGATGGCATCGGAGCCTGCGGCCGATCGGCCGTGCAGGGCCAAGGACCTCCGCACTCCGAACTCCGAGCTTGGGTCCGACCTTCGAGCCTTGGGTGGAAGCAGTGGTGAAGCCTCCCGGCTGCTTGCCTGCCCACCAGAGGATGTTCTGACAATCTTTTGTGGTGTGCATGACATGTTCTGAGAACATATCTGGATGAGACCGTCTTGTTTCAATACTTTCATCGGGTGCATGGTCTAAGAACGTCGTTTGTACTATTAGAACACTAGTTTGTTCTGAACACGTCTTGGTAGGACTATAGGAGTGCCAGGACGGTCGGTCCATGCTCGACGGCTGGTCAACCAGGCAGGGCCAAATCAGGGGCAACGTCAGGGGGGGATGGGTTCAGTCAGAGCCCCGAATCATCAGGGGTAACTCGGGTCAAGGCTAACTCGGGTTCGTTTTTCGGGAATCCGAACCCAAGTTACACCGGGCCCGAGCTACCCCGGATAACTCGGGCGCCCATCTCTGACGCATCGACCCCCAATTGCCCTTGGATCGCCGATAGGGGCCCGATAGCCTGAAGTCGGGCCTGTCCCTCTACAGGAGGAAAATTCAAAAATGCTCAAACGTTACCGCAGTGCGACCCTACCTAGGAGTTGGAGCCCCTAGGAAAGCAGCATTAGTAGTAACGGTAAACGCCGTCCTCCTCCTTCTCTTCATCGTCGTAGTTGCCTTTGCTTTTGCTTGTTTTTGCTTTTGCTTGGTTTTGCTTTTGGTTTGCCTTCGCACACACACACACACATGTGTTTGCATTCGCTCACCGGGTGGGCTCTCTGATCGTACTGTTGCACATTGCTTTTGCTTTGCCGTTCATTTGCTTTGCTTTTGCTTTTGCTTTTCTTTGTTTTGCGTTGCTAGTGCTTTGCTTTGCTGTTGCTGTTGCTGTAGCTTAGTTAAGCTAAGCTAAGCTAAGCCTTCTGCTTTTGCTTTGCGTTTGCTTGGTTTTGCATTTGCTTTTGTAGTTTGGCCTCTACGTGCTCGTCGTGGGGCGCTCGGTAGGGACCTCGGCCACTAGTGCATGTCGTTGGACGCTTGGTAAGGACCTCGACCACTACGTGCAGGTCGTGGGACGTCTTGCAGGGACCTCGGCCTCTAGTGCTGGTCGTGGGACGCCTAGTAGTGACCTCGGCCTCTACGTGCTCGTCGTGGGACGCTTGGTAGGGACCTCGGCCACGGACCTCGGCCACTACGTGCAAGTCGCCGGACGTTTTGTAGGGACCTCGGCCTCTAGTGCTGGTCGTGGGACGCTTTGTAGTGACCTCGGCCTCTACGTGCTCGTCGTGGGACGCTTGGTAGGGACCTCGGCCACTAGTGCATGTCGTTGGACGCTTGGTAGGGGCCTCGGCCACTACGTGCAAGTCGCGGGACGTTTTGTAGGGACCTCGGCCTGTAGTGCTCGTCGTGGGACGCTTTGTAGTGATCTCGGGCTCTACGCGCTGGTCGAGGGTGTGATGTTAGTCGAGTGCAGTGCTGGTGGGGCTTGAGTGTTGGTGCTAGCGTCTCAACAGGCCGCGGGAGGAAGTTAAGGGAAAATAATGTCGCTGGTGGGGCGTTAGTGGGGAGTTGTGTCCC